GCATGACGAAGCGGATATCGTCCTCTTTTGGAGGGCCAAACAAAGTAGTTTCGCTTTCACAACGACACACACAGCGTCTTCACGACATGGCCGCGGCGGCAACAACAATACTACAGCGAGAATAAAAGTTACGCCTTCTTTCTTTGCGTGAACATTTGGGCGGCGTCATGCAAATCTTCCCATATCGTGACGTAGATATGTGGGGGCGTGTTAGAACGAGCCGTTTTAGGTAGGCGTGGTTGACTCTTAACTTTTATAAAGAATATCTCTTTGGATTTGAGACTTTAGTCTTTGCAACTTTACAGATCTTCTTTATGCACCAAGAGCTTGTAACACTCCAAAGAGAAAGGAAAAATTTAAACCGCATCATATGACCCCTTTAAACCATTCAACGCTCGCGCGCTCTCCTGGAGACTGAGCGCTCATGCACACTCGAAGCGCACACACATAACGCCAGGTTCACACATTCTCCATTTGCAGTGCGTATGCGGTGCATATTTTTTTTCCACGCTCATGTTAACGGAATTTAAAGCATTCACACTGCACACGGTTGCGGTCCGGCAGTGCGTTCCATGCGCGGTGCATCTGCAGCAGCGCACTGATTGTTTCCACACCGAGTTTGCTGCACGCGCTGAATTAAAGTGACAGCGCATTGTTTGCTGTAAATATGAAAACGAAAATGTAGTAATTACACCATAAATGCATATAATTAAAGTTTGCTGTGTTTCACAGTCAACACATATGGCTTGTTGGCTAGGTTTAAAGAAAAAGAGCACTTTTAGATAAACAAGGCAATAATAGATGGCACTTGTGGAGGTAGAAAAACAAAGTTCTTTATGAACCGCAGGATTGCTTGTAATAAAGATTTCAATGCAAAAGAAAAGGCAGTAGAGCTGAGTGTTTCTGTCAGTGGAAAGTTTTAATTTTGAATGTTTGTGATAACGTAAGAAAAGTAGTTTAAATATTTTTGTGTTGTGCTGTGTGTAAGCTATTGTGCAACAATTGCATGAGTGTAAAAACAAAAATGCACTTTATGATCGAACAAAAATGCACTTCATGATCAAACATTTAGGTGAGATAAATATATATTTTTGAAAAATCTCTAAAAAATACTTCCCTCCACCCCTCAAATAAAAAAAAAAAAATCCCCTCTCACAAGAGTCACCTATAAGAGGGAAATTCCCCCCTATTTTCAAAAATGAAATGCAGGCCCTGAATAAATGTCTAAAAATCTTGATTGGAGTCTTACTATAAATAATTCCACATGATAAAAATAAGGCTTTAAAAAGATCGGTATCGGTGATCGTATCGGCAGATACTGCTTTCTGTGATCGGTCTCTAAATATGTATCAGTTTTTGTTTAAATATTATGACAAATTAAACCTAAGTACATCAACAAATATCATTTTAAGGGTCAAGTGCAAGTAACTACTACAGTTGTCATGTACTTTACAGTGTACACCAGACAGTAAACATGGTCTGAAAGCACTTATGTAGGTTTCATATATGCTCATTAAATAAAATATTGTTTGTACTTATTTATTTATTTTTGGAGTACCATGTAAATACCATGGTATATAAATATGCTAATCATTTAGTACCAATACCAAGTATAAATTCAAAGCACCATTTCACACATCACTGTGCCATAGTACCTCCATATACTACAAAAGCTAAGACAAACAAACAAACCCCAAGCCACGTGCCAAATCATATCCGTAATCGGAAGAAAAGTAGAAAACACGTTCACATCACACATAAACATCGTTTCATTTGCGGTTTGGTTTAAAAAAGGAAATAAACTTACACATTAAAGTGCTGAAAGCCAGAACAGCCAACAGACCCTGAATAAAAACACTGAATCCGTCCATCAGTGATCCGTCCACGCAACCCTGATACTCCGGACTCACCAGATAACTCATATTACTGCTACTCTTCCAAAAAGCAAACATGTTTGCGTGTAGAAATCCAAAGAATAGTCATAAGATCCTTCGCGCAAACGACTTAAACAGATTTTCCGTTTAACTTCACTGGCCAGAAGACGTAGACATTTGTACGACAGACCGATGAACCGAGAGACCGCATATACAACACTGGAGCTGTTGAAGTCGTGTTGAAATTGAGCGATGTGGCATAAGATAGCGCATTTCTCTCAGGTCACTTTCTTTCCTTCTTTCTTTCGTATTATTGAGTCAACAAGGGGGAAAACGGCTTGCTGACGTCACCTCCTGCTGCTGAAATCTCCTGAAGCCCTTTGTCCCCCAAACACTCATGTGCTGATGTGAATGCACTCACCAGGTCAAACTACTTTTTTATTATTATTTACTGGAATTATATTATATTATATAGAGTACAATGAGATGTATTTTATACATTCTGCAAAATATTTTCTTTATACAAAAAAACAAAAAATCGTATGACAGCTAGGATGTTTACCCTGGGGGGCTTATTGCACCAGGTAGAGGGTCATCTTACATCAGTTTTCAAAAGTAAACTTATCTGAGAATATGAGAAAAAGGTGTATAGTCTTTATTATTTCTCATTATTGTAATAAAAAAGAAAAAATAATCACCAAATAAGTATTTTAAACCAAAAAAAATATATAAAAAATAAAAAAGTTTGTTAAAGTTATTGATGGACCTCTTGGAGTAGGGAAATCAATTGTTCTAATCAATTCCAATGTATGTTAGTGTACTTGTGTGATGAATCTGCTGAGCTCTTGGTCCTTATAAAAAATAAACCATTAAAAAAAAAACACTGAAAAATACAGTTGTTTATCAGAAGTTACCACAGAGCACTAAGTGAGTGTTGCTCAGCCTTTTTTAAGCCACTTCTCAGCCGTGACACACAGTAAAAGGAGTGTAGGGGTGGGACTGCTTGGTTTTTTCAGCTTCAATGATCCATAACTCTAATGCAACAATGAGCCGGAACATAGGAGCACAGCTGAAACGTGTCAAACAGAAGAAATTACATTTGACTTTAAAGAAAAAAAAAATCAGTTTTATACACTCTAAAAAATGCTGGATTAAATACAACCCAGTGCTGGGTAAAATAGGGACAAACCCAGCAATTGGGTTGTTTTGACCCAGCGGTTGGGTTACTACCCAGAAGGTTGGGGTAAACATTTAACCAAACCGCTGGGTCACAACAGCCCAATTGCTGGGTTTGTCCCTATTTTACCCAGCACTGGGTTGTATTTAACCCAGCATTTTTTAGAATGTAGGACATATAAGCACAATGAGGTGCATTAATCAGCAACTACAAACTGTATTTGGTTTATTGCTTATAAAAATGATACCATGGTAAATCAGTAGGAAATCGCACAAGTTTACAATCAATAACATTGACTATGTAAACCATTTGTTCAACAGATATTGTGTGGCATGTTTTTCACTATGGTTGACTTTGCTATATTTAGGAGCTGTTATCACAGCAGATTTAGTTTGTTTCATGTTTTGAAGTCATGTCCTTAAGTCATGCCTTTTATTTTGAACTCTTGTCGAGCTTTGTTCAATGTAGCTTGCTGTATAGGTGTGTCTGTTTATTTTGCATTCATTATACACTTTTTAAGTATGTATTTACACTACCATTAAAAAGTCTCTTATGTTCACCCAGGCTACATTTACAGGTGCATCTCAATAAATTAGAATGTCGTGGAAAAGTTCGAAATAAATGAAATAAATTAACTTTTCCACGACATTCTAATTTATTTAGATGCACCTGTATTTGATCAAAAATACAGTAAAAACAGTAATACTGTGAAATGTTATTACTGTAACATTTGGCAACTCATAGACACATAAGAGCAGGATCCAATTGCTGATTATGATTTTTAAAATAACATTATGAAATACAAGGGACAGAAATCCCAAGCACAAAGAACAAAACTGAGCAAGCCAACAAAACATACACAGAGAGACAACACTTGGCCATAACCACATGAAACACTAAAGCTTATGCACAGGGGTAACAAGGATAACAAGACACAAGTGGAAACAATGAGGAAATAATAAGGAACTAATAACGGGTACAAGATTATAAAGAAAAAGATGACAATAATAGCAGCTCCGGGACCACCGGAGCCAGGACTGCCAGGCTTGGAACCTCCGGGACCACTGAAGCAGAGACCACCATGGCACTGAGATATCACCAGACTTGGGACCACTGGTCTAGGGAGTGCTGGCACCATCAAGCTAGGGAAAGTTGGGACAACTGCCAGATTAGGGAGAGTTAGAACCACACGTTAGGGAGCACTGAGACCATCAGTGCTGGATCCATGGCTAGTGGTCAAGTCTTCTGTAACATTTGGTAACCCAGGAACAAGAAAGAGCAGGATCTGATTGCAGATCATAATTTATTAAGGAAAATAACAAAATACAAGAAACAGAAATCCAAGGAACAAATGAACAAAACTGAGCAAGCCAACAACACAAATGGACATGACATGAACATAACCACAGGAAACACTAGAGTTTATACACAAAGGGGTAACTAATAAGAGGGAAACAGGAACTGAAGGCACAAGACTTCAAACTAGTCAACATAACAAACACAGACAGAACTGTAATTACAATTTTAAATAGCTGTTTTTTTTATATATATATATTTTTAAATGTAATTTATTCATGTGATGCAAAGCTGAATTTTCAGCAGCCAATACTCCAGTCTTCAGAGTCACATGATCCTTCAGAAATCTAAATGCTTATTTGGTGGTTTATTACTATTACAAATGTTGGAAATAGTTGTGCTGCATTATATTTTTGTAGAAACTGATACCTTTTCTAAGGATTATTTGATAATATAAATATTTTGTAACATTATAAATGTGCAGGTATTTACTGTCACTTTTGATCAATTTAACATCCTTGCTGAATAAAAGTAATCATTTAAACATTTTTAGATTGTCTCTTTCAAAAAAAAAAAAAAAATCTTACTGACTGTTAGTGTATGTATATTATGAAATACATATGCACATATATTGCTTACAACCCATGTGTCTCATGACTAACAGTAGGCACATACCCTCATTGCATTATGGGAGTGATTCCTCCCTCCACAGAGACTACTGGTATCCAGCTGTAGCCTACGGTCAGAGAAGTGCTCAAACATGAAAAAACTAGACTGTGTGTATAATAATAGCTGCCTTTGTTGTATTAATGATGTGTCCTGTCTACCACCTTGTAGACAGGACATGGAAACGGCAAACTACTAAATACTGATTTTAATGGGGGTGATCATATAAAATACATCAAAGTAAAGTGGCTACAAATATACATAGAAAAAATATTGTCAGGTAACCTTTAAATGCATTTCATGCTAACGTCTAAATTAACTGTTAACCAAATCTTAATCAAACTGATCAGGTTACACAGATAAAAATAATTTTAAGGGACTTGTCAGGTAACAACTGTACATTTTTACAGTGTAGTTATGAATCTGGAACCTGACATTTTGAAAATCATTGAAATTCGGTCTATAATGTGCTATGGAATACTTTTCTGAAGGCCTGTATACCAAATTATGAGCTACCAGATAATGTCCAGAGCTAATTTCCCTAGGCAAAACTTTCAGTACTATGCCACAGCATGAAGAGGATAAAGTATAGACACACATTGTCTATCTCCTCTCACAAGGTTGCTGCTCCAGCAGTGGTAATCTGTCCCTGGACGTGCTTGTCACAGTCTCCTCTTGTAGATTAAGCTCAAGGCATGAACCATCTGTTACTGTAACATCACTAAGTGGAAGCCTGCGCTTATTTGTTTCTTTTTGGCTGTTGCTGGACAAGGAATTTCACCTTGTTTGTGCACATAGTGACCTAAATGTGTGAGTGGTTTAGAGTGTTGATGGGAGTTTCCTGATAAACTTACTTCTGCACTGATGCTAATGAGAACATTTTTGAGAAATCTTTTTTTTTCTTCTTTGCTCTGGAGGAGTAGTACTTTACAGTGAGCTGTAAACTGTAAAGTATCATATTGATGTCAATTTAAATTCAGTACAGCAATGAATACTCTTACCACAGGATGGCAATGGAGGACAAGATGAGCACTGAATTTGTAAATCTGAAATAGGATTGCAATTTCGAAAAGTGAAAAGAATTTAACACTTTAATTTGCAATTAGATATACTGTAATATGTATTACATAAAGCTGTGATGAATGTACACTGTAAAATATATATTTGCCAGGTAACATAACGGCTTCTAAATTAATGGCTTCAAGTAAATTCAAGTGAAAAATGATTGCACAACTCACGTTTTAAGATGAGGTTGAAATAGACCATTAAGATTGTTATAACTTTTTAACAATGTAGCCTACATTGTCATATACATATAATAGTCATAGTTTTGTAAATGAAAGTTATATTTACTTTATTTTGTTTTGATGATTACTATCATGACTCTAAATAATTACTTTAAAGTTCATTTTTACTTTCTTTCTTTTTTCTTTTTTGTTTAAATATAAAACACCACTTTGAATTATACTTACAAACATGGAAGTAAAAAGACACTCCAAATGTAAAACGGTCAAATGTTTTTTGCGTAAGAGTTAAGAAATAATCGAACAGATGATCAAGATGAAAAACAAGCGAGGTTGCAACAGCAGCCCCCTCTTGTTTACACAGTCTGTGTATCAAAACCTAGCGAGTTACCTACATAGAGAGCATTTTATGAGCATTTTCACCGTGTTCCTGCCCAGCGGTTTCGGCCATCAAAATGTCGAAAGCTCCCAAAAAAGATGCATGTGTCAATGATGCCCAAAAGTGCTGCACGCGCTTATGAATGCCCAATTACTGTCCATGCAGGCGGCTCGCAAGGTTTTAAGACACAGCCATGAGTTTCTCCACACGAGGGAGGCGGAGGCTCGGGCCCATTTCTATTTATAATGGACTGAACAAATTTTGCAACTGTAAAGGTCAATGAAGGAGTCGGCTTGAAAATAATCTGTAGATGTTGAGACATGCGCAGATGCAGGATGATGCCATATTGGACACACACATACACACACCGTTCCTGCTTCAACCAGAACACCGGATCACTCAATTCAGATAGACGGCAAAAACTCGCATAAGGTAAAAACTACATTATCAGCATGAACTTCATTCTGTAATAGTGATCGTGACTGACGCGGACTCGTGCTTCTTTGCGCGAATTTCCGCGTACAGGCGCTTTTTCCTCGTTAAAAACATTTGGAGGTTGTTCGTAACAGTCAGAGATATATACAGAAGCGTCTGCGTATGAGT